AAAGGTAAAGCACTGCAGCAGCAAGAAGAAAATGTTGTGCTGAAGGCTACAGAGAAAAAATACATTTTATTCCAAACGTACAACTTGGCAGCAGCTCCTGTTATCCTGCAACTTGTCCCACTTCAAAGTGGGATTGCACAGAGTTCCTTTGTTGACACTGCAACGACTTGTCTTAGATCAATACCAAACGTACACGATCGTGATCAGTGCTCTCGTGGGGCTGCCAAGGCCTGCTTGCTGGTCATGGCTGCTTCCAACACTCTGCGCCTGCGGGCCGGAGAGGCTCAGCGCTCCACGAGCTCCTTCCTTCCTTCCTTCCTTCCTCAGCCCGCAGCACCTGACAGCGCCGGGCGTGCTCCGAGCGGGGCAGAGGCTGCGCTCAGCGTGCACCTGCGTGCGAGCAGGCCCAAGGGCCCGGGCCGGGTGGGGAGGAGGGAACTCGCACAGCTCAGCGTGACGGGAGGCGCGGCCGCCGACCCCCAGCGCCGCGAGGAGCCGCGAGCGCCCCGCCGCCGCCTGACAGCCTCTCGCCGCCGGGTGGTCGCTCGGAGAAGGCGAGGCCCGCGCCCCGGCGAGAGCCGGGCAGAGCTCAGCGACAGCACAACGCGACGGGAGCGGGGGACGCTGGGCGGGAGCGCTCTCGCCACCGGGCCCGGCCCGAGAGCCCCGCTGCGTTGTAGGCCGCGGGGCTGCGGCACCCCCGGACCGCGGAGGACGGGAGCCGCCGGGCGGGCCGGTGCGCGGGGCCGCGGGAGCCCGGAGCCGCTCCGGGGGATGGAGAACGCGTCGGTGGCAAGAGCGCGTCGGCGGGGAGGCGGCCGAAGGGCCGGCGAGAGCAGGGAGCCGACGAGACGGCGTTACCTGCGCTCTCGGACGGAGAGTCCCTCACAGCCACAGCGACCGCTCGGCCCCAACAACACAAGATGGCGGTCGCGCCGCCACGCAACGTCACGTGAGGGCGGGCCCCGCCCCCCACCTCCGCCGCGGGACCCGGATGGGCGACGGCCCTCCCCTCCCCCCGCCCCCGCGGGGGCGCCGCCCTCGTGACGTCACCGCGCGCGCGGCGGCGGCTGCCCGCCCTCGGCGGCTGCGCGCGCGCCGCCGCTTTCCTCAGAGGAGCGGGCCCCCCCTGGCGGGAGCGGCCGGCAGCCCAGCCGCAGCGCGCCGCCCGCTGCTCCGCGGCCCGCGTTCCCGGCGCTCGGTTCCTATGGGGGTTCCCCTCAGAAGCCGCCTTCGGCCGCGGTGACGAGCGTTGTCCCGCAGCCGTGCCCTGTGATCGGGTGGCAGTGCCGTGCGCGGCGACAGGAGCGCGGAGCCCCGCGGGAGCCCCATCGTGCGTACATCCTTCGGGTCCGAAGCTCCCGAGGGAAAATCATCAGGAGCTCAAGGCAAAGCTCCAGCTAGAAATAGCCGTTTATTTTTAGCCCTCAAGCCCGCATGAGCGCGGGGTGCGGAATCGCCCCCACGGCTGCCGGCTGTCACAGGCGCCCTGCTTTCAGCGCAAGCTGTTGCACCCCGTGCCTTCAGCCGCAGTCCGTCTCCCTGCGCTGGGCGAATAACCGCTCGTCACCGTGCACCGAACCGAGGCCGAAAACGATGCAAGAGTGGACGCGAGCGATTCCTCGTGAGCTAACGGGTAGCGTGCCTTAGGGTTTAGTTTTGGCTGAGAGCGACGCAGACTTCTTCATCCCGAAACCTGAGAAAAACGTCTCCCTCAGGAGGCTGATAGGTTAAAGCAAAGCTGGCTGGCGAGGAGCTGGACGCTGACAGGCTGCGTTTGGTCCCCCTGTATGTTGTCACACAGCTCCGTGTTAATAACGGCCTGGGGAAGGGAGAGAGGCAGCGCTGCAGTGCAGGCTGTCAATAAGAACTCCCAGCTCTGCTACAGAAGCAGCTGTCCCTTATTATCCTTATGCATTTGAGTACCCAAAATATTATGTGATCTAAGGCAAGCTTTATCTGAGCTGGGAGAAGTTCAGCACTCCTAGAGATCCTCCCCCCCCCGCCCCCCTTGTTAATACAAAGATACTCTTGGGAAAAGAATTCAGGAAGAGAATGTCTGACAGATGTCTCATCTGTAGAATTTAGCTTTTTTTCTAAAATACCTCAAGGAAACTCAGATTTATTGTAATGGTAAGTGCATCTTAAGTCCTCCACAGCTTTCATTCAAGCAGAACAAGAAGGTTGTCATGAAAATTCAAACTCTATCTGTGCAGGTAAGTTCATGCATGGTTTAATTAAAGGGCTGCATGTTGTCTGTGTATGAAATTACCCCCAACAGCTAGGCTGAGATTTCCTCAGGTACTGAGGCACGATGTACCTCAGAGCCCTGTTGATTGCCGTGTCAATTCATCCGTGCTATTAAAAATCCAAGTGCAAGGAAATGGCATCCTTATCAAACCAGAAGCATTCCTTATTGATCCGTTGTTTCCACCTGACCTAGTATAAAAGCAAGAACCTGCATCCCTCGGTACAGCTGGGAAGCTATGAGCATAAAGTACAGCTTTGAAATGGTAGCAATCACCATAGAGCAGCTCAAAAGATGTGTCAGACTTTCACATCTGCCCTCCCGATCTCCAGTTTAGTTATTTGGAAAAGCAGCTCCCCTGTTTATTGAAATACTGGGCTTTCTGCCTGAGAAGTCAGACAGCAGTCTCAGCAGTGTCTGCCTTCCATGAGAGGGAGAAACCAGCATCATTTGTCACGTCCCTAAAAATAACGGTAAGAACAGCAGACGAGGCAGGCACATGAACATCCAAGTGTGGTGTTTAAAGCCAGTCAGCTCAGTGCATCTGTCACCTCAGATAGCTTGTGCTGAAAGAGTACCACATAAACACTTCTACTTTGGCACACCCAAATTATTTTAAGACATCTTTCTTAGATTTGGCAAGTTGAGTTTGAAAAGCAACAGTGAAGTACGCAGGTATTTCCAATCCATCTTGCCAAGGATTTATTTGGATGCTCCCATCAGGCTACATTTCAATTTGGTCAGCTTAATCTTCACAGCTAAAGCCTAAATTCTATGCCACAAAGAACCTGGAGGCAAGATACTCCCACATTGTGTTGTTTCCCTTTTCCTCTTGAGTGTGCCTATACCGAGCTTTTTAGGTAAGAGCTTCTGCCATCAAGTGGTGTCTGCTGCAGTCCTGATGAGTATCACAGTCATACCAGTGAGAAACACACTGTAATTTACAAACTCAGTGTTTGCTGAAGTACTCATGACTTCTCAGCTGTACATCTCCTTCTCTGGAAAATTTTAAACAACAATTCTCCAGGGATAAAGGAAGAGCTGAAGTTCCTGTTCCAGGAACTCAGTGACTGGAGACAAGTCTTCACCCGTTCTGAGAAAGACCTGCATCTGCAATAGATTTTTCATGATGTACCTGCTCTTACCCTCCCAAGCACACCCAGAGTCACTTGGGGCACTTCAATGGTGACAAACCAGCACCTTTCAGTAAATAGAGCTGACACTGCCAGATAGTTTAAAAGCCATTGTGGTAACATCAGGCATTAAGAAATGACAGCATCAAGAACTATAGTGTATTAATTATAGACAAATAAGTGTAAGTCCATGTTGTCAACCAGTAAGTATTGGCTCAGAAATTCAGCCAAGCTTTAATACTTGTGAATGACCCAATTATACTGTCATTTAGTCCAGTAATTGCCAGCAAAATAGAACAATTTAAAGAGCAATTAACTTCTCAACGTCAACTCTTGCAAAGCTGATTTCAAAACTCACGTTGCAACTTCAAAATACGTGTACATCCAAAAACATTTACTCTTTATGCTGAATAGAAGTGCCAACTAACAGCAGCCACCTGAATTGAACAGGGCTCAAACAGAACAGCTGCAGAGCTGACATGCTTGCTCTCAGCATGCTAAAGATGACCTCATAAAATAAGGCTGGGCTGGGACAAAATCCAGTTAATCCAGGAGACTGGCACTCTCTTAGGAAAGGACTAAGGAGCAAAGTCAGCTTGCTACAGACAGCAAGTTTTATAGCTGATCCTCTTATTTGACAGCAACCTTTTACCCACGTTTACACATCCTCCTGGTTTGTGTTGACTCACCTGGCTATCTTGTCCTATTACTGATGCACAACCAGATGGAAGACCCATCCTTCCAGGCTTTGCAGCCTGAGCAATGTGAGAGGGCCAGACAGGACTGATCTCCTTATTGAAACTTGTTGCCTAGAATTGACTCAAATCTATTAAAAAAAAAAAAAGTTAGAACTTCCCTTACAGCACTGCCCTGCTGCTGCCCCGCACAGCTACATGTGCAAACTGACACAAGGCAACAGCACTTACTGCACCTCCCTGGGGAAAAACAAAAATTCAAGAGCTGCAGCTTTGCCCTTTTCCCACAGAAAAGACAACTAAGGAGCCAATATCCCGATCTTACCTCAGGGATAACATACAGAACAAAGCCATACAGAAGATCTGTCTGGGTGAAGTATTTATGCTTTCCATGTCATCACTTGATTGTGCCTGCAATGAAACAGTCAAAGCTCCTTCTGAGCCCTCCATGCTGACCCTGCCAGCAAAGGTTAGGAGATCAAGAGCAGAACCAAAACACTCGGACACACTCAAAGACTCTCATGTGTATTCCTTCCCCTTTATAAAAGGAAAAGGCAAAGTGAAATGTAGCTGAAACGACCTGCCCAGCTCCCAGCTGGAGCACTATCAGGGCTGGGAGGCAGTGGCTATTTTAAGATATGGGAAGGCTGACAATGTTCAGCTGTCAACACTCAGCAGTGGATGGTATCTCAAATATTTACACAGCCATGTTCTTTTCGGAGGAATTGCAAACATAACTCTTTAAACCAGAGCTGCTGGATAGAATGGAAAAGCATATCAAGAAGGTTCCTCTACTTCCTCACCCACCCTAATCAGGGTGGTGAGCTCTGGGGCTCAGACATTGGCACAGCATGGAGTGGGGGTCACCACAGTAGTTTGTAAACAAAATATAGTTTGGGAACCTAAAATAATCACAGACAAGACTGGAGATAATGATGCTTTATTCGTACATTTCAGCAACAGGAAAAATAATCAAAGACGAAATTATTTGCTTTGTTGTAAAGTATAAAAACATTTAATTATAAATATTTAGCTAAAAAAAGCGTGATTTTATAAAATATAATCTGTGAAGATATATATATACACACAGTTTAATTGTTTAGCAATTCTTTCACCTGACATTAAAGAGTAGAGGTTTTTCTATTTGTTATTCCACGCTCACAGTTTAGTGCTCATAGTTTAAGAAGCAAAACAGACAAATGAAATAGATGACTGCTGCATTTTGGTCTGGAGAGAAAGAAAGAAAAATGCACCAACTGGGGCAACAGCAAAGCCAGAATTTGAGCAAATTCATGTTTTGAGAGGTCTCTCCAGGGGAACACAGCTTCCCTCTGTCATAACCTACAGCATATATCCAGACAAGCATCAGGTATTTAAAGTTTGTGGGCAAGTTTCCCGTGTGTGTTAAAGCAAATAGCTACGTACAGTGCAAGCCCTCTAAATCCAATTCAGCTGAAGGTGGTAACCTCTCTTGAGCAGGGATCGCTCAGGATGCTGGGCTGGTTTCATCTGTTACGGCTCTAATGAAATCAAACACCATCACCACCTTTATGATTCAGGATGAGCACATATCCAAATTGGAAAACAAACAAACCCTGCGTGCCATCCAATTCTGTCATCCATCTGGCAATATCCCTTAAAAACAGATACAGCTAAGGCTGAAAAACACAGTGAAGCCATATAGTACACAAAACATGATGGAATGTGAAAGATACATGATTAGGCAACTCAGTTTTCTATTCCTTGTTTTAGAGAGCCAGCTTCCTCCCTTCTAAGTTCTCAGAAATCCTGCATCTTATTGAAAGGTTAGTATGGCACTTCAGAGAAGAAAAACTGGAAGACTCTCCAACATGCTGGGCAGAAGAAAAAAGCTACAGGAAATAATTGATTTGATCCCTGTCCCTAGTAGTTCTCTTTCTCTCTTCACAGTGCTTTCAGTGCCTGCAGCACAGGGCTTTGAGGATGACTGGTTAAGTCAAGGATGTGTGACAACAGCGGCACAAACATACAGGAAGTGAATCTGTACTTTGTACGCTGCTTTACACAAGCCCTCACTACTTGAATGTAAGCAAGGAATGAATGAATAAGGAGGTTAAGAGAAAAGTGTACAGAAAGAGGAAAGAATGAAGTAGGTAAACACTTGTCAGTGCTTACCCATGATTTGCTACCTGCTGTTTCTACTTCAGGGTGATGTACTCCTGACAGTTCAAAGCAAACAGCATGCACACAGCTCTTCTGATTCACATCATTATGAATGCATAGTAACTGCAAGAGTTGTGTCCTTAGCAACTCGGAAGGATCTTCAAGAGAGGAAGACTAAAATCTGTTACAGCTTTGCTTGGCAGGATCCAGGCTGTTCTCTCCAGGTAGAACCCTGATGTGGAAAACGTACCAAGTCCTGTGCAATCAGAGCACATGTTGGCTGGCTGCTTACTGGGTAAATGCAGACTTTAACTCCCTGAAAGCTGCTCGGCGGTGTTTCCTTTCCTCCTCTTCTCGCTTTCGCTCATCTTGCTCAGCTCTTATCTCTGCTTCAAACTTACTTGCTGAGGAAAGGGCTTGAACCTTCACAAAAGAAAAAACAAACACTTTGCATCAGAGACAGAACCAAAGTCTGGATTACTCTTAAGTGAGCAACACCAAACTGTTTACTGCACCCCTCATTGCTTAATAGGAAGCTGTCAGCATGGGTCAAGTATTAATTAGACTGCACTACTTGGGTATTTACATCCAATACTTGCTAACTTGCTTGACTTGGACATCAGTAAGAGAAAGGTCATTTACTAATAAGTCACTAGCAAGTAACCAAAACAATGCTGTCAGTACTAGGTCAAATGCATTATTTCTGTAAGCATACAGCATAGCATAAAGTTGTGAGTAAACAGTGGGAGAAACTACAGAAGAAAACAGCTCCGAATCATAGCCAAATCTGAGATAATCATACTACACCACAGATAATCTGCAGATCAAAAGAGACTTTTTTTTTTGCTGGCTGTTTTTCCAGCTTTCATCTCAGTACATCTGCTGTGCAATAGCTGTGCTACACTCTCAGGACAAAACTTCTTATGTAAGCACACAGGATTATTCTCTCTCCAAGAGAACTTGCAAAAAGGGTGCTTTGTCAGCTTCACTGTGTAAAGCTCTTTCTGCCAGCACCAGGACTCTGTGGAATAATTTTGATTCCAAAGGTTACAAAGAACTGCTCAAGAAAGACATCTGAAATTCTATACTTCAAAACACTCAGTTCACCACTAAACTGAGTTCTCTGGTCAAGTTTTGAAAAATGAGAAAGTTGGTCCCAATGCATTTGTTTCCAGGATGCTTTTGTCTTCTAAAAGAAGTCAGCCAGCTGGTCACGTACAGCTCTTGGCCACTGGGCACAAGTCCAGCCAGCTCTATCAGGGTACGACTCACAGCAGAGACTGGATGAAGGCATTCTAGTGTTGATTAAACTGCAGAAGAATGGTGTAGCTAGATAATAAAGTCTGAAGGGAAAAAACAATATAAATTTTGAAAAGGTGAAGGCCAGATGAAGTTACACATTCTTTAAGCTAGGGATAAAACAGACAATGTCTTCTACTGAAAAGCAAGCAGGGTTAGAATCTCAGTGGTAGTCAAGTTCTACATGCAGTTTCAATGTCTGTCTTTGGTACAACATACCTTAGCTTCAAAGAAGTTCTTGGCTCCTTTGACTCCTTCAATGGACACATCTATCTCAGAGAGCTTTGCAAGAGTCAACAGTCCACTGTCCTCCTCAAGTTCCCCAGCCGCAGCTTTATGGAAAATCAGCAGGAACTGTCAAGACAGGAGAAACATTCAAGTTCTTCACTGAGATGAAGAATTAAAATGCAAACAGCACAAATATCCACCTGTGGAGGGGGGGGGACAACAGAGGGGGTAGGAATTGACATTTCACAGGGAATGAAGCTGGTTTTATAGAAACCAAATGGCAACTTGTGCTCTCGTGTCCTAGCTCTACTATAGAGCCCTGCTGCACTAAACAGAGAAACCTCTTAGGAAAAGAGGGTTTGTGTGGAACAATGCCATGATGAAGCACAGCTGCAGGGCTCCTACACAGCAAGAGGAGACCATCCCCACCTGCCTGGTGCAACTGTAAGGTGGGCTCTGATCCAGCCCTCTATATGCCCAAACCCTAATGCCTCCCCCACTGTTGTGATCTGAGACCCCACATCCCACAAGAATGAAAGCAGGGCAAAGACTGCCTCGCCTCACACCTCAGACTCTCTGTATGAGGTGAGGGTCCAACTCCCCTAGGGAGGATATCAGTGCAATGGTGTGCACTTAAAGCAATGTGGGGACAGCCCAGCATCAAACTCAGCCTTCAGTACTTACTAAGCCTTGCTATCCACACAGCCTAGGAAGAAAAAAAAAACAAAATTAAGGCCAAAAGCACCAGGAACAACAACACACGGTCACTTCAACTGGCTCCTTGTCTAGGACACAGGAAAGATTACTCAAATCAGTACTTGGAGCAATGCCTCAGCATGTTCCAGGAAACCCTGAATGGTTTAGCTACAATGAGCAACACACAGGTATTTCTGTTGTGCCCATTAAATAACACACAGGAGAGCTTCTCTAATATGGCTGTCAGGTCAGATCAGGGGCAAGCCCTCAAGAGAGGTGACTCAGAGCTAACTTAAGGGAGTACCAGCATCCACAGTAAATAGTTTTGAAACCTCTGTCCTGCACTGAACTACAGACATTTAACAAACGTGGAGTCACTACAGCAGAGCACAAACTGGCAAATTGCAGAAGAGAAAGAATCGGCCATATTACCATTAAGGAAAGCACTTTAAAAAAACAAAACCACACACAGAAGGGTCAAGAACAGCTGCTTAGAAAGAGAGATCTCTGCATCACCTGATAAGCAAATTCACACAGCCAATTCCCTGCTATTCTTGGGCACCCCAGGAGGTGTCTCAGTGCTCGCTGGATACAGCACTGCAGTAACAGAGATGGAAACAAGCCACCCAGTACCAAAGGAGTCCAGTAATAATGCATCACTGCAGCACTTCAGTCCAGGGCAGAGAGCTCAAATACCACACAGAACTGCTGGGAAGTCCATCTGCACAGGCACGCCTGACATCCTTGGCACTTTAGGACTTGGCTTTCTCCTCCAGAAAGCACCCGTGTTATCCCAGAGGAGGGCAGCAGAGTTCCAGCATCTGAACTGAGAAAGCCTTACTTTTCTCTTTCAAATTGTTTGCAGAAACCAATGGAGATCAGAGAGTTTGGGAAGATTCCCGTGGGGAGGGGTGTGGAGATGACGGCAGCGCTGGCTGCCCTCTCACAGAGGCAGCATTACCAGGCCTTGCTTCATGCAATGGCCTTGTAACCCCTTGTGTGCTCAGCACAAAATAGCCAGAAAGCAGCCTGTGCTTGGGGAGAAACTGCATTCCCCTCCAAAAACACGCACACAAAATAATGCTCTGCTGAACAGAAACTAAATCCTTCCCACGGCACGCTCTCACACTGCTCAGATCCGCTAGGTCTGGGCTTAGTTCCTCTCTCCTGCCACCGCTGCTGAGCACAGGGGCCGGGAGAGCCAGCAGGCAGGCCAGGCTGCACACACTGCAGATCGTTGCAGTTCCTCCTCACAGTTTCTGCTCCACCCTGTGAGTCCCACTTCCTGGCATTGGACAAGTGCAGCAAAAACAGCACAATCCTGAGGTCTGGCACAGCTGTTGCCCAGGGAGGGGACTGGAAACACCCAGTCACAAGTACAAGCGTGCATGAATCATCCTGAAACTAGGGGATGGGGAAGCAATTCCTACCGTGGAATACAGGCTGCTGCAGCCAAGGAAAGCAAGCTTAGAAGGAAACCAAGGAGCAAGCCACCAGCTTGAGTGGACAAAGCATAGCTCCAGCCTTTGAGTACCCTGCGATGCAGGCTATAGGGCATCATTCTGGTTTCCACCAGATCTCGTGATTCATCCTACATGTCAGCACACTGCCTGCAGCCCACCCTCACCAGTTACTTGCTAGTGGGGCATCAATCCTCACTTAACATCAAGCACTATCAGAAATTTTAAATTCAGAAATAGGAGCCCATCAGGAAACTAACTCATTTCACACCCCTGCTAGACCCAGGATGTGGTACATGCAGCTAAAGCATCAGAGAAATGTCAAGACTAGTCAAAGTGAATAATGTTGTACTTTTAAAGACTCAGCTCTTAAACTGATACAACAGGACACACTCTTTCCACCCCACAAACTTTATAGGAAGCAAGAGATATATTTGCCCTTGTATCATTCCTTATGAAAGGCTTAATCAGTACCAAGTCTCAGAGCAATGCTGCAAACATGCAACCCACTGAAAGCCATGCTGACCCCCAGGACACAAGGGCAGGTATTGGATCAACTGGCAGCAGTGCTTGCCAGAGAAGTGGTGCCACCCCAGGCTGCAGCTGGCAGAAACCCTGCTAGCAAACATGATATGGGTCAGCACTTAAGCAAGTGAGGGTGTGAGGAAGTGGGTGAACTCTGGTAGAGTGTAGATAGCAGCTAGAATTAACCATTACTATTATACCAATTAACTGTTTTCCTGTGGTAATGAAAAAAACCAACCTGAAGATTTTTCTCCCGCTGCTGTACATGACATATCAAAGCCTCAACTGCTTGGCTCAAGTGGCAAAGGAAGTCTTGTGCAGTTAGTGGTTGATAAATTGACCGACTCACTCTCAGAAGTCACCAGTACAGCAGCACTCCTGGTAGGGCCAACAGCTTGGCAGCAGCAAGGCAGAGCAACACAGGCCTGCCTTCCAGATAACAGCTTACACAGGATAGGAGGGCATGGCACTACCCAAAGCAACTACAAAAAGGTGACCTGTTGCAAACGATAGAGGACCTTAGCATTTCTCTGGCCAGGCCTCAAGCAGCATATTTTCAGGCAGGTTTGTCAGGACACATCCTCTGGAAAGACAGACAGGAGCCCTTCAGCAGTTGAGTTGCATGCTGCTGAGTTCAGGTATGCATTTAAAATAGGGATTCTCCTTGCATTGTCAGAGTGGTCTAGGTTAGCTCACCCTCCACATGCTCACTGGTCACCACTAGCAGGAAGTGGAGCAGGGCAGGGCCACGGGCTGGTTTAGGCCTTCTAACCCACCAGGAAGCCCATCTTCCTGCCAGCCCTCTGCCCAGCGCTTCTGTAACAACACAACAAGCACGCTGCTCCTTTCTACCACTGGAAGATTTGTGTTCCTGCCAAGACTGTGTTAATTTGTCCCCAGCGCTCTGCCAGTAACATTGCCTCATTCCAGCCTGTGTACCACTCAAGCCTGTGTTTGCTTGCCCATCTTTTTGCATCTGGCGACAAACTACAGCAACAGCACCAGCTGCTGCCTGCCATGTGCCAAGAGCTGGCAGCACACTCAGCACATGCCAGCTGACGTGTGGCCATGCAAGGGGCTGTGCTCCAAACAGGTGGCAGCAGAAGAGGAGCCACACCACCACTTGTGCTGAAACACCAATGCCAGGACATCACAGGCTGGACCTCCCAGAGCCCTGGGGGATAAAGGCACTTAATTTTCATTGCAGAAAGCATCTGCAGCACTGCTCACATAACCCAGGAGCTGTTCTAGCCCTTCACCCAGTCCAAAGGCGAGCCCAGGCAGCACACAGCAAAGCAGAGAGGGCTTCTCCAGTGCACGCAGAGGTTTGGCAATCACAGGTGTGCATCTGTTTTGCCTTCAGTGCTTATCTGCCCCAGCGTGACTTGGAGCCAAGGACACTGTGCTCTTCCTGCTCCACTGGATTCTTTGCTACCTCCAGTTCACCTCTGCCTGAGCAGGTACCCTTCCCTTCACACAGGAACTGCCAGCTTAGGACTTCACAGGTGTAAGCAGAGAGGTTCTCACTGTGGTTGAAAACATTCCTCTGAGCAGTAATGGGAACAGTGTGCAAGAAGGGACAAAGTAAGGCTGTAGGAGGAATGGTACCACACACAGTTATTCCCAACAGCTCTAAAGCATGGACAGAGGCATTCTCATTTTCCCCACCCCTCAAAAAAAAAAGAAACACCTCAAACAAATGGCACTTTCAAAATCAAGAACATCCAGAGATATTCTAGCAGAGAGCTCTGCATCCCACCCTGCAACCAAATACCCACCCTAGGAGCGTGGCAAGAGCACAGTCCCCCCCCAGGGGACTGGGGACAAACAGGTCCTGAGCAGTAAGGCTTCCCTATCTCCAACACATCCTGGAGGGAGGAGCAGCAGGATGGCCACGCAGCCTTCCACTTCTGCAGAAGTCAATGATTGTACTGCCTGAGGAGCTGCTGGTTAACGTATAAAGCCACACTGTTATGCATACTGCTGATACAGGCAGCAATCAAAGCCTAGTATAAGATTATTCAATAGGAGGTTGTGATAACTGCTGTGATAAAGGCTGGGTACCCTTGACTGCACAAGTGCCACTAAGCACCCTCTCTTCTTTCATCTAGCAGCAGCTCCTGCCCTGCCCTCAGCAGGGCTCCCAGCTCCTCCAGCACAACTGATGCCCAGTAGTATCACAGCAGAGCAATGACGGGTTTCTTTGCTGACTAGAAGATGAGCATGGAGGCAGTTGCTGACAGTGCTTCAGATCTGGATCTGCCCACAGCCAACCTGCTGCTTTACCACATCCCACAGTAGGAGGAATATGGAAAGGACAGTTATACAGTTGGAGAACAGGGCTGCCTCCACTGTTCTACCCCACAACCACATCCACAGCTGCATCTATGCCACCTTACCTCACGGAAGCTGAGCTTCCCATCAAAGTCTTCATCCACCTCTTTGATCATGTTCTTTAGGCCCAGGTGGGTCTGTGGGGCTCCCAGCTTCTCCATCATCAGTTTCAGCTCCATCAGGTCAATGTATCCATCCCGGCCTGAGTCATACCTGTGGGGTACGAAGGGGAGAGGGTCAGTCCTCATCATCCCCTGTATCCAGAAGCATTTTTCCCAGAAGAGGAACTGAGCAAATGGAAAAAACACAAAGCAGTTCAACACGCAGCAGAGAGAAGCTGCACAACACAGATTATATTAAGCTTAGGGAAGTGGTAGGCCACTTTCAGAGCTGTCTCTTCCAAGAGGGAAGTACTCAAAAGCTCAAGCCAAACCACCCCACACAGAAAGAAGAGGAACTCGCTTATCTTGGGATTTCCATCTCGCCCACTTATGTCCAGCATGAAGTTAACTTCATGCACACAGTTTACACCATGCACCAGCATGGAGCAGCAAAGGCATGCCAGAGACAGCTGCTGCCTCCTCTCAAGCTCATTTAGAGGAGAAACAGGGTGCACAGACCAAGCAGAACCTCCCCTCAAAGGAGACTATCTTCCTCAGTAAGCAAAAGACACCCGCTTGGCTGTTAGAATCTCTTCTCTCTGAAATGCTTTTGTACTACATAAGCACTCTGCTTCAGGGCAGCTGTTGATTCAGTGCCCTGAGGCAGAGCACAAAAGCAAGCTGAGGGAAGCACGGTACATTGCTGTAATCCTGGCTGGTGCCTGATGGCTGCAAGACAGCAGTGGGAGGAGAATAAATTTATACCCACCTTGGGACAGGTCTAGGAGAAAGGCTGAAGTAGGACCATGCTCCCATGAGAGCACAAAAGATTGTAAACAACTCCTTGCAGGAGGAAAGGGTAGAAATAGGGGAGGGAGGCAGTGACCTGCAGCTCTCAGACTGAGCCTGCGCACCAGTTCCTCCCCTGATATCCACTGCCAGCAGGAGAGGAATACCCAGCACTTCGTAGCCATGAGAGTCACTACTGAGTTTTAAAGTCCAAAGACACAAAAGATTAACTCTACTATCAGACAGTTCAATAGCCATCCCTCATCCCAGCCCTGCCAGTCCCTGCATTCACCCAGAGTGAAAAGTCCCACCACACCAAGCTTCAAGATTCATTCCCAAATCAGAAAGTGAGTCAGCTCAGAGCTGGCCATTGGGGTCCAACAGAAAGCCAGGGCTCTCACAGCAGGATGGGGCAAGGTCTGGCTGGGCTCAACCCTGTTGCAGTGCCTGCTGCTGCCCTGGTCTCCCCCCACCACCTCAAACCCAATGTAGCTATATCTTCTTGGCTGTTCAGAGAGGAAGCCCTGCACACTGTGCTGAAGCTCTCTTCTCCGGCGGGAGCTAGTGAAATCCTTCCACCCATCACTCATTCACTATTAGCTCTCTTCCAAAGAGCATGACGGCTGCAGCCATCCCAGACCAAGACCTGCACAATTGTGGTTACTCTGGAAGCAAGCCCTTTCCAGCTGAGAAACCTCACAGCTGCAGAGGAAGCTGCGGCTGAAAAAAGCATGAACAAAGCTGCTGGCCCTGAGCTGCATGCAGGCGTGGGCAGTGCAAGGCAGGGCTGCAGCCAACAGCATTGCCCCACCACAGCACGGGGTGGGGATCCCTCAAGCCAGGCATCTGCTGCTTCTCAGACAGCCCCACCACCTCCCAAACCAGTTTTTATACTGCCATTTTTATACACAGTTTTATATTACCATGATGCCCAAAGTATCAAGCCTTTAAGTACTAAAGTGATGCACCTGGGGGGCTTGCAGACTCTGCTGCTAACCTGCAGGCACATCTGCAGTCAGCAAACCTAAGGATACTAGATGGGACAGCTTTCTGGAAAACTAGGAAAGAAACCTCTTGGAGCAGAAACCAGGTCGCAAAGCTGACAGGCCAGGAAAGCAGGCACACTGCAGGAAAGCATCCGTAACTGAAGGTATGTGTAAGCAGCACAACCAAACCTAGCTCTGAGATGCTCTCACAGAACTGCACTAAGTACAATCTCTTCCCTGTTTAAGTATCAGACTGCTTTTCCTATAAGTTTGGGGAAAAGGGTATGGAGCTGCTCCTCTACAGACAGCAGGACAGGCAGTGCCTTTGATCAGATAAGGCACGGAGGCTCTGGGGATTTGCTTTTTTGTGTTTTATCCTGACAAGCTAATGCTGTTCTCTAGCCGGCTGCGGAAGCAGAGCTACATTGAGCCCTCGAACAAGGGCTGCCACTCAGAGAAGGGCAACGAAGAAGCCAGAAGATGGGGGGAGGTGCCCAGCCCACCCCTTTGACGCAGGCGCTACCTGGAGGCAAACACTGGTCCTCAGTGCCTCTTCACCTTAACACTGAGCCTGGAGGGCAGACACCATCCAGAAGGGTTAACTAGCTACACGGGGTGCCTCACCACCGGGCACAGCTTCAGGGCTCAACTATCCTGCAGAGAGGCAGCACAAAGCAAGGATTGTGAGGAACAGGCAGCAGAACAGCACGCAGTCCCAGCCACACAATAGGTGTTCAGTGCACAGGGCTGGGCGGCCCCAGAGGAACACTTCAGCACAGGACAGGCCACTGGCAAAGGGCAGCGGCTCAGCAGGCACACATCCTCCAAAGTCAGCTTCCCAGAGACAGCAGGACGTGGCAGCTCCCAGACGCTCACTGCCACCCATGGAGGAGTGCAGCACCCTGCAAACTGCTGCATTCCCTCCCCACCCCCACTCTCCTCCCAGAGCAGCGTGAGTATTTTAGGACCTTGGCACAGCCACACGACTGCCACACAGCTGAACGGCCAGACTATTTAGGGAGAGACATATTTATAGGGCATGAGAGAAGGTGTTGTTCATTCCCTGCTGCACACCCATGGGTGCAGGCACTTGGCATAACAAGGCACAGCACAGTTGTTACATAGCTGAACCTGGGGAGCATTGGTCCCAGCACTCCTTGGTCTGACCCAAAAGCACACCGACTGCTTTCTGGGAGCTTCCCTTCAGCATCCTGGGCTCCAGCCAGGCCCTGGGACATCACTCACCTACTGCACCACCAGCACAGCAGCCCAGCTCCTGCAGGGTGACAGACCCCCTGCAAAGATAGCACAGGTAACAAGCAGAGCTGGAGGAGAGCACCAGAGCAGCTTTGGCCCCTACATGTATCCCAACATTCTGACCCTGTCCTATACTGCAGAAGAGGCACAGCAGGACTATGCAGCACCTGTGTGCCCAGCTGCCTCACCAGCCCTGCCGTCACCCTCTGTCCTGCCATGACACCAGAGCTTTGCTCCCTTCATGCTCAAAGCTGCCCGGGCTGCCAGCCAAGGCTCACCCTGGCAACACGCAAGCATTACCGAGGGGCTCTCACACTGACAGGCAAAGATATCTCACATCTCAGGCACACAGAGATGGGGCAGCTGCAGCAGCATGTCGGCAGCTGGGATGTGGTGGGTCCCCTTCTGCAACAGGGCAGCCGTGGCCCCATGGATGAGCTGGGACACCGCACACAGCTACAAGCACCGTGGCTGACACAGTAGGGCTTTGCAGCGCAGTCACAGTAACAATCCTGGCAGCAGATGAGACACTGAGCTGCTGCCAAAATCTGCTGCAACAAGGATGCACCCAGATTCCCAGGCTGGCTCACTTCCACCCAGGCTGCAGTGTGTCCCTGATGCTGGAGCACTGGGGGAGGAAAGAGGCAACAGAAATAGGGGCAAGGAAAGAAAGAAGCAATGCTTAACTGAAAAGACTTGTTTAAGGGCAAGGAGTGTATCATGCACAATTACTGTGCTAGTGCAATCATTACAATGGTGTTATGCAGCACAGCTGGAGGTTTACACCACAGAAGATAAAAGGACTGGGTAAGGAGGAAAAGGAAAAGCTGAGGACTGCATTACCAGTACTGAGTTGGCTGTTACCTCACCACTTGTCTTAATAAGAAAACCACCAAACAAAAAAAGAATAGTTGAATGAGAAATCCCAAATACTGGAGGATCAAAGAGCAATTTCTAAATATTCACAGTCCTTGAGAAAGACTGGAAATAAAACCTGCCTTTCCTGTACACGTTCGCTGTACCTGAGCTTGCTGCACACACTATGGGCAACTGTACTTTGATCTGCAACTCCCGCACGCTGTAATGGCCAAACACAGGCTCTGAAACAAATCAGAGTAATGGTGCTGAAGTGGTAATAATCTCTTCTTAAATATTTCAAAATCCTTTCTAAGCAGCACTTGATTTCCTCTGAGCATTGTGTATCACCTTACACGTCACGTGCTTTGATAACAACTCCTGCTTACTGGGGCAGGAGCAGACTCCCATCACCAGCAAGGATTTCCAATCCCTCTGCCACACTTTGCTCTTGAAGGGATAGGACAAGATGGAGGTCTGCTACACACAGATTTCCTCTGCTGAGCTGGAGTGACTTGTGCAGCCAAGTCCCCATCAGGATTACCTCCCTGACCACTGCAGCTGACCAGGGACAGCTGGTCACAGCAGGAGCACAGCCATCCTGGGGTGAATGAGGGTGTGCAGCACCCATCTGCGCCCAGCCCACTCAGGCTGCTTCAGGGGGTCAAAGGGAGACCACAGCCTTCCCCTTCCACTCCATAGGCACGAGGCAATCATGAAATGAGTGGGCAGCACATGAAATTCCTTAAGTGCAACAGCAACGTGGGAATTTATGCGCTTCCTCCCACTTCCTCCCACCCTGCAGACTAATCTGGTGGCTGCTCTCCTCCCCCACTCCATATCTCAGGGAGGTCACTCAGCCCAGGCACAGCCTGGCTCTCACACACACCTGCCCCCAAGCCGCCTTTGCCCAGATGAGATCACAGCAAGGTGAGCTGCAGGACTCCAGAGCTCCCCAGAGCCTGCTTGCAAGGCTTTGGGAAGAGAGGTTATTGTGGTTACCTCCATCACCACACAGTCAGAACAGGCAACTAATTAGGTCGCATTATAATTAGCCTGAGCTGCAGACTTCCTGGTCCCTCTGCCAAAATAAGAAAAGCCCACCCCAAGAGCTCCTGTTGCCACCTGAGGCACGTCTACAGTTTGCAGCAGTAGCCCCTGGTGTGGCTCAGCCACAGCACCCTGCTGCTGGCACCTGGGACGCTCCTCAAGCACATAGGAACAAGGATGTGAGCCTCAAACGGGGGGAGAGCCAAGCCCAACTAAACCCTTGCTCCCAGACCCTAGGGATAGGAAACCAAGGACAGAAACTTGGCATCTGGTGGCAACAAGACAACATGCAGCTCATCAAATACTTATTTTCTAACATCAGTAAGAAAAATCCTAGGTGGCTGTTGCTGAGGCCAATAAGCCATATGAAGCATAAAACCCTTAATCACATTAACTCCAGCTCTGACAGGCAGGAATTAAGAGGAGTATTTCCTCTCCTTCTGGAGCACGTGGTGCCGGCCAATACTTAGAACAGGTTGCTGGGACCAGATGGAGCAAAAACCAGATCCCCTACAGCCAACTCCAGCTGCATCCAGCACAGCCACCACCAGGACGGGGGTTTCTATCTGCCTGCCCAGAGGGATGACACCCACCATCCCCTGGATCTCCTGGGAGCATGCAGCCCAGCTCCATCCTGCTCTGGCAAGCTGACCAGCACTCAGCTGCAATGGTCCTCAAAGGGCACACAATGCTTCCCAGCTACACTGAACTGCTGATTAGCATTCAACTGCAAAGTCTAAATTCCCCACTTGTAGGGCCTGCATTTAATGAGCTCATTGTCTAAAAATTCAGCTGCAATTCAGCTCTTCCACTTTTTTTTATTTCCCCAATCACAGTTGTTCCCTTCCGAGTCCACATCCCTGCCCACTCCACGCTCCTACCCTCAGCTTCTAAGCCACAGGCACAGCCATCACGGTTCACCCTCCTGCTCTCACAGTCCCACATCCCAGCCCTCCGCACAGCACAGTACCCCTTTACCAGCTGCCAGAAGTGGCACAGGAGCAAAGCAGAGCAGAAATATCACCCAGGCACCTCCCTCGCAGTGCCCAGCTGCTGATGCAAAGCAGCCCACACAACAAAGACCTCCGGCACACTCAGAAAGATGAATGCCTCTCCACAAGCACACAGCTAGGTTTCCCGCAGCAACAGTCCTGTCTGGGGCCAGCAAGCCCCCACAGAGCTGTGAAGTGGAAGCATTCAAGCGAACTGTCTCTTGGCCCAGCCTCTGAAATGCTTAAGGCAGCTTTCAGACAGGAGAAAGCCCTGACAAGTTACAAACCCTCTGCAGACACCTCTGTAAGAGAAAGCAGCTCCCTGCACCCCACACGGCTCTTTTTTCGTGGCCCAGTCTCTTTGTGCCGGGCAGCATCCCCACCTCCAGCCCTGCCCCCTCTCCTCGCGGCCGGGAACGTCAGGCCCAGGGAGCAGAGACTCGGGGTACCAAAAAGAAACACGAGCACAGGCAACAAAGGCACTCACACACAGCCCAAATGCAGGAGCCGGGACAGAGCATGAAGAGCACACAGCAGGGCTGGAACACGGCCCTGGTTAAGCAGAAATGCTTTGCCTTACACAAACAGTGCTCTGCATTGCTTGAACATAGTATGAACGTTCCTGACAGGAGGGGAACCCTATCCCAGGAAAAGAGGATAAGAGGAAGCCCACTCAAGCTTCATTTGAGTGCACAGGAGGGAATACAAAGCCAGGCCAACAAGACTGCAGTTGGAGCCACAACGCTGCCGAGCAGAGCTGCGGGGAACACTCAGCTGCCGAAGGCAGACCAGCAGCGTGACTGTAAGGCACAGGGACACGGCTCGCCCCGGGGCACGCAGCAGGGCTGCAGCAGCAGCACCGCACCCCTGCCGGCCCCGGCGAGCGCACAGCAGGACACCGGACGAGGCCAAGCAAAGGTCAGCCGTACCTGCAGGCAGCAGCCGCCACCCGCAGCACACGGCCGCGCACGGCACGCAGCGCTCGTCCCCCTGACAGAGGGACGCGCAGGTGCTCCTCCTCGTCCTACTTTCCCCATAAAGTCAGAGCTGCCGGGCGCCACCGCGAGCGCCCGTCACCCCCGGCCCCGAGAAAGCAGCCGAACAGAAGCAGGCGGGGCGCGGGGCACAACGGCCGCGTCCAGCCCTCCTCGCACCCACCGAACACGCGGGACAGCCGGGACGGAAGTAAAGCGAGGTGGCGGGGGGGTCGGCGGAGCCCCGCGCGGCACTCACAGGCGGAACATGCGCTCCATGTCCTTGATCTGCCGGCGGCTGAACTCCTTGAACTCGGTGTAGGGGTTGAAGACGGCGGCCCGGCGGGGCTGCGCCGCGCCCTCGTTGATGTCGTGCCGCCGGGCCAGCTTCGCGCTCAGCTCCGCGCCCGCGCTGGCCGTCAGGCAGCTCCGCTCCTCCTCGCCCGCCTCGGACGGGGCCGGGACCTCCGCTTCCAGCTCATCGCCCTCCGCCGCCACCCCGCTCTCCTCCAGCAGCAGCCGCCGCTGCAACTTCTGCGCCAGCTCCTCCGAGGCCATCGCACCGCCGCCGCTCGCGGGCCGCGCTCGCGCTGTGCGCAGGACCGCCTGCCCCGGGCCTGAACTTTATTCCCTCACTCGGAGGCGGCGGGCGGGGCGGGGCGGGGCGGTGCTGGAGGAGGCGGGGCGGCCGTGCCGGAGGGCGGCGGGCGGCTCTCCCGCGTGACCCCGGAGCCGCGGCCGCCCGCAGCCCCGCCGTGCGGGGGTCGATCGCCTGCCTCGTGCCGCGGGGCCGTAAGCCCTGGCGCGTGCCTCCCTCTCGGCTAAAATGAACGCGGACAAAGCCCGGCCCGGCCCCGCGCTCCCCCTCCTCTGCGAAGCGTGAGGAAGGCGAGCGGCCTCCCACGACCCGCCGGCTGTCTGCCGCGCTGTGCCGCCGGCGCTGCCCCTCCCGGTCCCTGCGAGGTACCCGACGCAGCCCCCGATCGGGATTAGCGTGCGTTAGGCTGCCTGCTGATGGGATTTGCTCACGGGGAAGGAGAGAGAGAGGGAGGGAAGCAGCAGCTCGGAGGCAGCACCTGCTCGTGGCTCGCTCGTGCCTGAGCGTCACAGAGCAGCAGTGAGGGCTGCTTTTAACTGAAGGCGGGCAGGAAGCGGCTTTGTAACTCTACCGTAATGTGGTGACCGCCAGCTGCGCCTATTAACTAAGCTCGTTGCTACCAAACCTATGCAGAAAGGGGCTGCTGAGGCCACTCGGAGCAACCCTGGCTGCGACTGCTGCCTGCAGCAGACACAGGGCAGTGTGTGAGGCGTGGGGCTCCTTCTGTGACAGCTACAACTGCGGTGTTGTTTTTCTCCAGCCTCATGTACCAGCAGGGCACGTGGGACAAACAGCTAAGCAGACAGCGAGAGGCTCAGCTGTGGAGATGAGGGAAACGGATGGGACAGACACAATAACCAACAGGTAACAAATTATGAAAGAGATCAAAGGTGGATGGAATCAGGCTGTAAATAGAATAGCAAGCTTTGCATAGGATGCAAACATGGGCTACTCAATCAGTGGAGAAGTGGGACAAATACCTGGAATCACTGGATAAGGAATGTAAGGCTGCAATGTGTTTTTTGCTGCATGCTCTGCCCTGCAGGGTGCCCACCATGGTAACTGCAAATTAAAACGATTTTACCTGAGATTTGGTTCCCCAAAAATAATTCCTTTCCATTACAGCACATTTCTATTGTGCCTGTCGTGCATCATTACATCTCTGATGAAATGTCCCCATCATATAGATCTGTATAATTACAACAAAAAAGCACGCTAAAATAGGTTTAAAAACTTAAACAAAAAACCATATGCAAGTATTTTGTAAAAGCAAGTCTAAATGTACGAACAGGAACATGGAAATACTTAATATACAAAAAAAAAAAAAAATACCATGGAAAACACAGAACGCGGTAATATCTAAAGAAAAGAGAGTACATAGAAATGTTAAAAGCAAAGGAGGGCATGTCACGTCACGGCTATTCCCTGCATGGGAGACCGCAAAGGAATCCGGGGTGTTGTTTAATTTTCGGCTTTGGATGCTGGGCTTCTTTCTCGATGTTTGTCCCGCGGGTCGGGAAGTGCGGTGCAGTGTCCGTGTCGATCCGCTGGGGGCGAGGTGTCCTGAGTGAGGGCCGCTGGAGTTGGTTTGGGAGCCTGGGAAGCGCGTGAGTTGGTGTGCGCGTGTGCGTGCCGTGCCAGGCGTTGATCCGCGTCAGGGCTGCAAGTGGCGCAGTCTCAATACGCGTTGGGTAGGGTGGACATGGGGGGATGTGCGAAGGCGGGGTGAGGTTACAGCCAGGTTGTATGGTTGTGTGGGTGAAGTGCGGGGAATTGCAGGTAGCGAAGGGCCGCGTTTTGGTTGGCCGGCTTTGGGACTCCACTCATCTATTTCCGCCAGGTGGCGGGCAATGGCGGTGGTTTGCAGCTGGGAAGAGGGCTGGAGCAGGAGCAGGCCGTGCCTACGGCC